ACCAGAGAAATAGGAGCTAAGTTAGAGGGCGGGGTCTGGAGGCTGGATGTGCTCTGCTTGACCAATTTCAATCCTGGGGACACCCAGGGATACAAGATTTCCCCAAAGCAGGCAGAAAAATTTCCATGAGCTGCTGCTATAAGGTTACCTCCTCTCCCCATCCCAACATTTTAGAAAGAGCAAGTTATCTTTATAGGCCCCAGGGGATGCTCAATCGCCTCTTGGAAATAGGCAACTCTTCTTTTGAATGATGGAACACACTTCTAGGGCTTGAGTCTGAAAGGAGGAGGGTGGCAAGCCTCAGGGTCGGGAACAACATAAACGCTGGAGGGTGGAGGTGACTATTTCTAAAGTGTAACATTTTTACGTTGTTTCAAAAAAATCCAAACAGTCCCATGTGAGAAAGGGTCTTCCCCCGTGTCTTTTCCTGAGAAAATGAGAGGAGAAAGTCACCTTCAGGTTGGCTTCAAAGCCTCTGGTATTCTCCGGGGCTCCGAAAGGAGAGAGAAATCTTGTCAGAATTTTTACCAGGAAGGAAGGAGAGGGGCAGGGTCTTGTCCGAGAAACCGACTGATCCCTGATGTTATCATGGAGCCAAATACTGGAGGCGCTTTAGGGACATAGGACTGAAGTCCTCTGAGATGTGGCCGTGGCCATGGACTGTGGCTGATGTCTGCACTAAGGAAGCTTGGCTAGGTGTCTGAGTGCAGGGCCACTCCGTTGTGGGGAATTGTGAACGCCTGATTTCAGATCCGAGTTCCTGCACAGATTCCGGGGGTTGGCCGCTACCGGCTTGGATTTTTATTGATTGCAATTCCACTTTACACAAAATCTCTTTGGCATTTTCACTTTTATAAAAAAGAAAAAAACAAACTCGTGGCTGCTGGCCAGACTCGCCCTGTGAGCAGGTATTGCATTTTCCTCCTGCTTCATTCCTGATCAGAGATTATTCATTTATGAATGGGTGGCTGTAAAAACTTGCCTCATGCATATGAAAGTTGAACCTGGAAATTTTTAATTGCCAGTAAGTTTTGCTTTTACTGAAAGCGCTATGGTAACACGCTTTGGAGGTAATGGATGGAAGAACAAATTCTTTTTTTTTTTTTCCTTCTTTTTCTTTCCGAATTAACTCTATGATCTGTGCTCTCAAATGACATTTGTCCAGGAGGCCCTGACTGAGCGAACTGTTTGATCCCCTTACAGATCATGATTCTGGAAGGAAGTGGTGTAATGAATCTCAACCCCAGCAACAGTCTCCTCCACCAGCAGCCAGCCTGGACAGACGGCTACCCCACGTGCAATGGTAAGGGGACCAAATAGGTGTCAGTGTCCCTACCCCCCCCCCCCGCCCCAGGGCTTTTCCCTCTGCTTTAACTGGGCTTCGTTTCCCAACTTCATGTTTGAAAAATACAGGTTTTATTCAGCAGATGTGTGGGGACGAGGGAAAATGGAGAGCACTTCATGCTGGAGGTCCCGACGGGCTCTTGGGGCCCCAGACAGAAGCCCTTTGGAGATTTTCCATTGTTTCTTCCCAATATTCAAGGCAGCCTGGCAGAGAAAGTGCTAGAAGATATGCCCAAAGGGAAGGCCACCTGTTGATGCTTTTAACAGCGTTTGGCTGGGATATTAAGACAGGATATCGAGAAAGGTGTGTGTGTGTGTGTGTATGTGTGTGTTGTGCAGAAGCATGGAACTTAAGGAAGACAGGCTTATAGCAGCTTATTCTTTCTGTTTCAAAGGGAGAGATTTTTTAGGAGACCATGTGCCTCCCTTAGGTGCTTTAATTTAGAGCTCTTGATCAGAAAAGGGAGGGCCTGCTGCTGGGGCTCAGTAGAGGGTTTGGGGATCAAGCCCACTGCTTACTGTAGAAGCAAACAGAATTCAGATATTGCCAAATCAGGCCCCACATCCCACCGTGAAGGCATTAGGTCTAGGCAGACTGCTGTGCATCAGACTGTGGTGGGTTTAAGGCGCTCTAGGCCTTCTCCTGCCCCATACTTGCTGCTAATCTCCTTGCAAGAGGCCAAGCTGCTCTTGCTTCTCCTGGGAAAGGAAGGTGGCTTGTCGGTAAGCAGAGTCTGCAAAGCAGGAGGTGGAGGATAATGGAAGGTTGTATTCTCCAACGAGCAAGTGCAGCTCCACCTCCTTTCAGTCTGGAACCCCAGTCAAACAAGGCTGGGAAGCATGGTCAGGTGATCTTCCCTGGTCACCTATCACAAAATTGCTGTCCTTTCTGGGCAGTGAACTTTTCTGTGGCAGGCCTTGGATTCCTTGTGAGGACCTCAAAGGAGGGTTCCAAATAGGGTAGGAAGTTTCTTCAGACTGGAAAGCCTTCGGCGTCCCCAGTCTGGGCCCTGGATCATGGCAGCATTCCTCCTGTGTGCTGGGGCAGTGTGTTTAGCAGGGAGTAGAATTTGGGTGCCACCGGTATGTTTTAACTTCCAGAGGCCCCAAAGAAGGCCCAGCTCCTGATCATGATTGATGGGGCAAGGGAGGTCAGTTGATCAATAGACAAGAGCTGACCTCGTAGGATTTTCATGTCTTCTCCTAAAACTTTGGGAATCCGATGAGTCCCCCAGCAGATGGGAGAATCCCCTAGTCGACCTGAGACAAAATCCTCTGGTTCTCCCAAGTTCTCAGGATACAGTATTGGGAACTGTCCTTTAGTCTGGATCATGTGAAGTTGGGAGAGGAATTAGAGAGGCTTGTTGTTGGGGTATTGAGAGTTATGGTCTCTTGTTGGCAAACTCAGAGCTGTACTGTCATAGTCGTGTCATTATTTTGGAAAAAAAGATCAAAGCCTCAGGGAGCCACAGAAATATATTCCATCCTTAAACAGCTCTTTTTGTGAGACACCAAAAAATTGAGGGACACGGAAATATCCAGTCTAAATTCCATGTGTTTGTATATTTGGGAATATTTCTATGTAATGAAATTTTTGGACTAGATTGTTCCAATCCTTGCCCCTGTTCCCCACCACAACTGGCTTCTCCTCCAGGCCCTACGCAGAGGGTTTAGGGCTGCTTTTGTCTGGCCACGATGTATGAGGAGTGAAGCACACACTGTGAGTGGTAGTTGTGACCCATGGCACTCACCTTTGCGCCTATAATGACGTCCATCTCCTGCTGTTGGTGCTCCTGGGGTCTGGAAGCAGGGGATGGATTCAGAGGGGGTGAGCACAAGTGGGACTGGGTTGGAAACATTCCCCTTTCAGCCTCTCTGGGGGTGTTGAGGCTAGGTAAGAGCCATTATGGGACTCAAACCTTTGGAGCTCTTTAGCTCCTTGCCATTCAAACTGTATTCATGGACCATCATCATCATCATCATCATCATGTGGAAGCTTGTCAGGAATGCAGAAACTCAGGCCTCACCCCAGATCTATGGAATTTGAATCTGCATTTGAACAACATTCCCTGGTGATTGACAATCACATTAGAGTTTGAGAAGTACTGATCTAACATGACCTCGAAGAAAAAAAAATAGGGACAGTTTTCTTGCACTCTGTTTTCTCCTGTTGGTCCATTATTCAGTTTGTGGAAATACCGGTATGTCATGTTCAGTTGGATTTCCCTGCTTCAGCTTGCTGGGCTTCAGTCATGTCTTCCCCTTGTCCCTGCCCCTCATCTTTCCTGGATGAGAGTTCCTCCCTTTGACCTCTGTTTTCAAGGGGACTGTAAGATCTCAGCCCCATTACCATGTCCCCAGAGGATGGCTCTCTCGTCTCCATCTCCTCCCAGGACTTTGGGCTGACTTTGTGATGTTCTCTGAAGTGAGCACAGGAGAGTCACATACGTAGAAGTTCAGCCCATCCAGTTCAGCAATATTTATTGGCTTGGGTGAACTTGACTTCTTCACTGATATTTAATTTAACCATCTTGTGAATGCACCTCAAACTCTTCTAGATTGCTACATTATCTCTTCTTCAGGAACAAATTCCACCAAAGAAATATACAGAGAGTACCTGCGATGGCATAGTGTCTGAGGTCATTTTTGTAGGAGATGCAAAGATGACTATGGCTCCATGACCTTGAGTTTACAATTTAAAAAGGAGAATAAGACAGAACCTAGAGATGTGTAAAGTAAAGCAGAACATGACAAAAGCCATTAGGAGAAGTACCAAACACGTCTGTTGGAGATTCAGGGGACATCAAGCCCTGAATAATAATATTTTTGGGGGGGTGGTCTGTGATGGCTTTATGGGGTGGCCAGAGTCTGCAAGCTGGGTAAGTATTCAACAGGGAATGACTGGCAGGATACAAACCAGACTGAAAGGACACCAGAGAAAAAAGGCAGAAGTGATGGGGTCACTTGGATAATAGTTACTGAAGAGCCTCAATGCCTGGCTTGGCGATTCTGTAGCTAATTTCAGTGAATAATGGGAAGCTCCTGAAGGTAGCTGAGTAGGGAAATGAGTCATAGCAGCTGTAATAACCAGTGTGGGGCTGGGGTAGATCAGCACAGTTAGCAGGCAGCTAAGCTGGACCACTCTGGAGAGGAGAAAAGACATCATAGAGAAAAAGAATCTTACCCTCATGCCTCAGTTTTGGTTGAAAATGGTCTGAATTTGGGCTTATGTATGTGTGTGTGTGTGTGTGTGTGTGTGTGTGTGTGTGTGTAAGAGAGAGTTAAAAATGGGAGAGAGAAAAGAGAGGAAGGGAACTGTGTGGGAGTGGACAATAGGCTAATAAGTTGATGACACATAGTGATGCGTTAGCCTTCATGGTACTTTGCAGGAGGCGGGGATGCGCTCATGATCTCAGAGCATTTCAGGTCTGTGTCCTCATGAAGCGCCCAGGGATAAGTACTGTTCTAAGGAGGACGTGAAGAGGCAGGGAGGCACATTTCTGAGCCTCCTCTCTAGAGCCTGTCTCATACTCCAACCCCCACGCTGACATCCACCGGCTGCAATTGTTCCGACACCTGGCAGCTGAGCGGTGCCTCCCATGTCTGAGATAATGTCCCGGAAGAACCACAGGTCGCTCATGGGACATGGGTCCCTCCTGTTTTTCAGTTTCCAGCGGGTTTTTTGGAGGCCAGTGGCATGAAATCCATCCTCAGTACTGGACCAAGTACCAGGTGTGGGAGTGGCTCCAGCACCTCCTGGACACCAACCAGCTGGACGCCAGCTGCATCCCTTTCCAGGAGTTCGATGTCAATGGCGAGCACCTCTGCAGCATGAGTCTGCAGGAGTTCACACGGGCGGCGGGGACGGCGGGTCAGCTTCTCTACAGCAACCTGCAGCATCTCAAGTGGAATGGTGATTATTTCTCTCTACCCTGCTGGAAGGTTCCTTGTCTGGGACTTCCAAGGGGGGGGGTCTCACCTCCAAATTACTGTTTCCCGAGGGAGGGAAGGAGAGAGGAGGAGAGAGAACAGGCACGAGTCTGGGGTTCCAGGCGTGTCCAATCCTACAGGAACCCAAGGTAATTGCATTTCTCCTTCTGGTTAATTTTTAAGGAGACAAAGGCTCGCTGGGTATTCACAGAAGACTTGCTCTCAGAAAACCTTTTCTTCTCCCCTCTCCACCCCCGCAAACATGTTGGGATAGCCTAACTCCCGATCACTTGCTTATTAAGATCAGCATGGGTCCTTTTTCTTTTCTTTAAACTTCTAGACCGAGGTTCTTAAGATGGGCCCTACACGTGGCGTGGTAAGAAGTGATGGAGAATTAATTAGGTCTATGTTTGTTTTGGGGAAGAGAAGGCTCCCAATATTTCAACAGATTCTTGAGAAGTCAAGAACTCAAAAAGAGAGAGAGAGAGAAAGGGTTAGAACTAATGGTCTGGACACGTGTGGGATGTTTCTGCAGTGATTTCTGGAATTAGTGCTGCCCTAGGGCCCCGAATGTGTCTCTCTTGAGGCCTCACCTAGAGCAGAGGCAAGCTCTCCATCGGTGAGTCTCTTCACGCACGTTCCCTCCTGGCTTCTAAGACACGATAGGGCAAACAACCTGGCTTGCAGAATGTCTTTGACACTGACCTAAGGTTCTCCTGACAATGCTGGTAAAAAAAGTTCTTCTGGGAGCTGCGGGCATCTTGGGAGACAGTAATATTACATAGGGATAGTGAGCTGGCCTGTCCACGTCAGAATGGGCATGTCTGTCTCAGCAGAACCAGTGTTTGGGCAGGTGGCTGGAGCTTCGGGAAGCAGGAGGTCCTGGTCTATGAACCAGATTCAGACCCTGACAGCTGCATCAACGCTGAGGAGGACCCAGGGTCTGGCCTGAAGCTGGCGGCTGGGGTGGCCATTTTGGATGACCTCATTCAGCTCCCAGGCACTCCCCTCTTCCCATCTGCCTCACAGAGATGGTTGCTCATTTTTCTTTACTAGAACCAAACCAAACAAAGCTCTATAAATAACCCCCAGGAGTCTTCAGAAGGAGCAGACTTACACTTGAAGATGTAAATATATTTACCTCCCTACCTTCAATTAGATCCACTCCTTTAAAGCTTTGCCCTGATTGAAGCCTGAGGCAGAAAGGCTTGGGAGGCAGAGAGCAAAGGGGTGGTGGCCATCTTTGACCTTCTGTCTTTGACCTTTTGTAACTTCTTTGGCCCTAATGCATGCTGTCGGTGCCTCTGAGTGCCTAATGACCAGATTTCTCTCCTTTGTTTCATTGTTTGCCTTTTTGTAGACGTTCTATTAGCTTATATTCACTGAGTGTTTATTTATACTGGACACTGTAAGTAAATTGATTCATTTAATGACCTTATGAAAAAATAAACATGTACCCATTTTACAGATGGGAAACCTGAAGGTCAGAGAGGTTAAACGTACGACCTCTGCTCCTGAGATATTTATAACCTGGCTGGGGAGGAAAAACATACTAAACGCATTCATATGTGTATGTGTGTATATATGCTTTTATATTTGATATATAAATATCATATATATATGTGTATATATATACACACACACATATATATATATAACCAAGAGAGGAGTTGCAAGGCATAAAAAAAGAGGAGAATTATTCCATTTATCTGGATGTATCTCAGATTGGATCTAATCAAAATGGGTCTGATTACATTTAAGATCAAAGAAGAATCAAACTGGTGAAAATGGTTTCTCCGGGATTTTCGTTTTTGTCCTATATCCTAAGTCAGTAAGGGAAAGCAGTTTAGAGGCCATTGACTGACTTTATCTGGTTTAATCCCCTCCATTTACAGACGAGTTAACCAAGAGCTGGAAAGGCCAGGCATCAGTGGGAAAACTGGCCTTCTGACTTCTTAAGTTCTATTTCCACCATCCTGGGATGGCTTCCCTCTATAAGGCCAAACCATTGCATTGGATGTAGATGCCCCAGCTCCTGCTTTCCCGGGCCAGGGACTCCAGGCCCCAGTTTGTAGACACTGAGAGGGAAGCCCCCTGGCCTAAATACTCAGAGGTGGACAGACGGCAGAATGGGCAGAAGCTCTCCCTAGAAGTCAGCTCCGTCCTGGTTGAAGCTTTCGGGACTTGTTTAAGTTCTGGCTCTATGTGGGCTGGCTCTGACTTCCCCAATCTGTCCTCCACAGGCCAGTGCAGCAGCGACCTGTTCCAGTCCACACACAATGTCATTGTCAAGACAGAACAAACTGGTGAGGAGCAGCAGAAAAAGGGAGCCAACTTGGGAGTCCAAGCCCGGGGGGAGGACAATTGGGAGGGCGTCAGGAGAGTGTGGGAGCAGGACGAATCCAGTGCTCTGGCACGAAGCCAAGGGACGCCTCTTCCCTGGCTGTCTCCAATGGACCACCCCACCGTGAGTCTTGTTCCTTGCCTTGGGGACCAGGGACTGCCAACTATTTCCAATCTAGATTGAAGCTGTCCACACTTCTGTGCCTCTCGCTGCTGGTTAGGGCATCATCCAGGCTCAGGTCCAGGAGCTGGGGAAAATGCAGAGTCTGGGTGGGCCTCCTTCTCACACGAAGAGAGTCAGGGCCTTGGGCTGGGCCAAGTTAGGAGAAGCAAGGGGAGAGAAGAGAAAGGTTCAGTGTCTCCTCCCTGCTCGTCCCTCAGGGGGAGTGCATTTCACAAAAAAGAGGAAGCTACAGACTCGCTGTTGTAGTTACTGTAGCTTCTGGAGGGCTTGGGGGACATCCAAAAGCAGCTGTGGAACCCACTCCCTGCCTCAAGTGCACTTTTAGACAAATGACACTATTCTGGGCTCTGAGTAGGGTCTGCAGTCTCATAGGATCTACGTTTATTTTTTGTTCTCCTTCCCTGGTCCAATGAGTCCTCCTTTCTCTGTCCCAAATCTTTCTCCTGGGGACCCGGTGGACTTGTGGGGTGGGGTGGGGGGGGCGGGAGGCAGGCAGTAACTGCCTGGAGAAATGTACCCCAGGGTCTCACACCCATCAGAGCTCCTTGTATATTGACCTTTGGCCTATGACCTCTCAGTCCAGGGAGAGCTATGCAAGTCCCCCAGAGTCCCCTGGCCTTGAGAAAACCAGGCAGTCAACGCTGCTCCAGGGTCACTCCCCACATCCACAGCAGTGAGATTGTGAGCCACGTGGGATGGCCGAGGTTGCCACGGGCCTCCCTGAGGCTTGCGTGCCAGTCACCAAGGACAGAATTTGACCCAGGGTGATTTGTGAGTTGCTAGGGGCTGAAATTGGCCCCATGCAGTTATTTACTCTTTTATAAGGGGCTAGTCACCATTATTAAAGAAAAAGCAATAGCTGCTAAGCATGTTAACTCGGTCTTCCTAGCCTTGCCCTTCCCTCCAACCCCACAGAGGCCAGGGGTTGCCCGGATGGGCCTGTGTCTCTGGGCCTGATTGCCCTAGAGGCAGACACAGGACTTGGCCCAGAGGCTGGGGCTCCACCCCCACTCCCACCAGGACCTGACAAATAGCCCCACTGGAGGAGCCAGCTGGTATTGGAGAGGGCCCAAATAACTCGGTAATTCCTCCTTGACCATCCAGACATTCTCGTGTTGCCAGTTCTGAAAAGCTGAGCCAAGGGGTGGAGAAGTAGGTCCACCCTAGGAGGAGGGGAGAAGAGGCTCTTAGAGGGGCCAACACCCCCCAAACCTTTTTGGTTCAGTTTGTTTTCGGAGACAACAACAGGTGTATGAGGTGACCCAACGAGGAGAGAGGGTGTAACCCCAAGAGATTGGGCTTGGGGTGCCCAAACACGTAGCTATTAGTTAAAATACCAGCTAAATCCCTATGTCGCAAACAGGAGGACTTAGCCAGTGAGTCAGGTTTTATACTATTTATGCTATAAAAACAAAATGAAACTCGGCCATTGGCTTACCTCGCTGACCCTGAAATTCAGAACGCAGACGGGGGGGAGCTGAGGGCAGCCTCCATCTGTGAGGAGGGGGAAAGGCAGGAAGTTCCCGGTGGGGACGAGGTGAGAGCTCCTGCCAGGTCTCACAGCTCTTGGCCGGGAAAGAAAATGCTTCTGTTGGAGGTCAGCCCAGACGTGGGGGTTGTGTAGGAGTGGGGCTTTGTTTGGGGTAGGTGGACGGCAGTTTCCTCTGAATCTGACATCCGAAGAGTCAGACATGCTTACCCAGCCCGCTGCAGGGGTGGGGTGGGGGGCAGAGGGAGCGCACTTCTTCTCAGAGATGAGGCAATGGGACCTCACTCTGAAAAGTTGTTTGCTTGATTTGGTGACACTCTCTTCTCCTTCTCCTCTGTTTTATTTTGAGAATTTTGTGTCACCCCTTACATTAATTGGAGAAATCCTGAAGGGAGGGGGCTGTCACCCAACTGGAAGGGGAGCTTCTGGAATTTTAGCCATGAAGACACCGTGATAAAGAATGACTAGACTTTCCTGAAAGAAACATTAATTCTCCCGGGAAGATATTTTTAGGAAACGAGACTCATTAATTAGGAATTATTTGTCCTTAACAATTTCTTTTTCCAATGTAAAAATATTCTGGTGATTATACAGTAGCATGCAAGACGATGCCAGGCTCCTGAGCCCACCCCCTGCTATGGGAATATTCCCAGAAAGCCAAAGCATGGGCCTAGGACAGGGTCTCACTACAGTATTCCCTCACTGCCCTAAAGAGGAAGCAGGTGTAGAACACACAGAGTTGGGGCCATAACAAAGCCCATTTCCGTTAGGACGCTGGAAGAAAAAGGAGTTAACATTCTTATAAAGTAGCATGTGGTAGAAGTCCAATCTTATCCTTTCTCTCTGAGGACCACCCACGAGGCCCAGCACCTCTCTGATGGGCAGTGAGTTAGAAAGGGCAAACTCATCACCCAGGGAAAGATGATTGCTGACCATCCCCATTTTCTGTCTTTTGTAGACCCTTCCATCATGAACACATGGAAAGAAGAAAACTATTTATATGGCACCAACTATGGTAGCACAGTAGGTAACTAACTCCCCAACACTTACGGGCCTTTGACATTCTGCTTATTCTGTCTTCTAACAGCCACAAAGTTATGTTGTAAGGAAGGGGCTCTTAATGTCATTTATCATTTCATTGCTGCAGATCTGTTGGACAGCAAGACGTTCTGTCGGGCCCAGATCTCCATGACAAGCACGGGTCACCTTCCTGTCGGTAAGTTGTCCTGATATCGGGGCTGAGGGTGCCTCCTGCAAGTGCTTACTGAGAATTAATGAGAATTACAACACCCTGCGTTTCTACTTTGCTGGAGTCTTTCTTGTTGAAAGACTGGGAAAGGAAGGGAGTTACTCTTTTTAAAAGGTCTGCTTTTGAGCTAGTATTTGTACATTGAAAATGACCAGCAAGGAAGCCTCTGGGAAAACTGTTGGTCTCTTGGGAAACCAAGTCACTCTCTTGTGACAACAAAAACTCCTTTCAGCAGAAGCTTGCTTTTAGGAAATTATCTGATAAAACTGTTTTGACTTGGGTATACTTATGGGGGAAGAAGCTGTATTTAATTTTCAACAAACTACGTCTGACTTTAGGGAAAGAATATCTAAAAGTGACCTTCAGAGGTCAGTGAACCTGCAGTGATGATCTCTGGGTAGTGGGGTAGCTGTCGGAAATTTCTAGAACCCTGGCCATCACAGATCAGCTTTTAAGCCTGACCCTGATGGCTCATTGGGACTCTCTGATTAGTCAGACCACCTGTACTGGATGAATTATGCTCACGTTAGTTGTGTTCGGTTAAAATTGGATGCAACCGGAGGGGAGGCTATCCTTGACTCCAAGTCAAGGTTCCCCTGAGAGGGGTGGTCCATTGGGAGTCCAGAGAGGGGCTTTCAGATGATAATTTCCCCTCCCCTCACAAAGAGGCATTTTGGCACGTGTCCTGTGAGCGTGAGTGCACTGGGGGGGTGAAGAGAGGGTTTCGACCTGGGTGAGAATTTGTAAAACTGCTTGGGTCTATGAAATTTGGAGCTTAGACTTGTCATGAGGCAATTGCTCTTTTCCTGGAATTGAAGTTGGGGCATCTTCAGAATTGGGATTTAAATGTGTGCTTGTGAAAGAACTTGGAATCACACAGCTTCTCCTCCCCCAAAACCTCCCCTTGTTTTTGATTTTGTTCAGTGTGTTTTTAAGAACCGAAATAATGAGGTTTGAGGTTTTGTTCGGGTCAAACCCCTTGAATGAAGCAGGGCTGGTAGCCAGTGTCAGTGCTTCTGGAATTGAGGTTAAGAACGGAGGCCAATTCATTTCTTGACTTCCCCCTCCCCCAATGGGCACAGCATTATGTGTCACTCTCAGTATTTGTTCAGCTTAGGAAACAGATCAGATACTGGAAAGGCTCTGCAGTGGGTTTGCCCTTCTGGGGGAACTGAGCCAATCAGGGGAACATTTCTGTAGCAATCATTGCCACCCAGTCAAGACCGAGGGTTTCAGAGCCGAGGAAACCACACGGTCACACTCTGACTTCCTCACACCTTGTAAGGTGATGCCTTCCATGTTCTTCCAGTTGGGTCTCTGGATTATGGCAGAAGATTGCAGCTGAGAATAAACTAGCACCCATCACTTCCTGAGCCTCGGGGGTCCTGAAGCACCTGGAAAACATAAAAGCCATTGTCCCAGCTCTCCTGCCCTCACAGCCTGGCTGCCCTTCTCTCTTCTGTATCCTGACTTACCTTCTAGAATCTCACAATCCATAGGGGCCAGTTCTGCTTTCATATTTGCAGCAATAGGGAACTCACTGTCCCCTTATTCCATTTTTGAATAATTCTTAAAACGGGCTTTACAGATCTGCACTCCTTTACCTCCCTTGATCCTAGATTCCTTTGTCGCCCATTCTGATCCTTTGCTTGGAACACAGTGAAGCAATCCAGGACCTCTACCGGAATTATTACTGATAGAATCCACTCAGCATCTGGGACTGGCAGCTTCTCTGGAGTAATTAACTATCCCCCAGCCTTCCAGAGGGACAGTTAATTACAGCCTTGCCTGGGTCCATTCCTTCCGGAGAGGTTTAATCTCTACTGGATGGGACCAGAACACCACCCCCCTAAAAAAGGACCTTCGTCATTTATCCGAGTCTTTAGATTTCAAGTTCCCATGAAACTGAGTGCAGTTAAATGTATTTCTATGTTTTAATGCAAGTTACAAGCCAAGCGAAGGCGAGGCTCCACATAAACTGATGCCCTCTGTGATAAACCCAGGTGGGGAAGCGGGCTTTGTTTTGATTCCTCTGTCATCTGCCCATTTCACAAAATGGCTGCTGCGAGTGTTCCTGATCTGCCCGATAGTCCTCGAGCCAGTCACGCCAACTCGGGCCTGATGTGTTTATTCACTGACTTGTCAAGCCTAGAGCTAGGGTGGCATGGTCTATTATAACACTGATATTTGTATATCCCGTAAAGAAATGGCTCACAGCTGAATCACATGCAAATGCTTCTAATCTTCGCTTCTTGCGAAGCAGCTTAGCTGAAGTCACGCTCTGGAACTTGCGTCATAAACCTGTGGCTCAGTGCTCCCCTTGCCCAGACTGGACCTTGGCCTGAGGTGCCTGGGAGCAGAGCGAGAGAAAGCCGAGCCGGACGACTTCCCCAGAGCGAGCCATTATTTTACAAGAATGAATCACTTAACCACATGGCTAACTTCAAAGGTTTTGACTTTTATTTTAGGGTGAGGGGAAGACACAAGGGGAGAGGCCATCATATTAAAGTGAGGTTTCAGATCAAAAGACTTTAGTGCGAAGGCAGGTCCGTGGTTCCACAGCTTGCCCACACACACTGGGGACGGGAAGAGGAGGCTGGAAGATATTCGAGTTTTCTTTTGCCTTTGGCTGCATATTCCTTCATATTATGATGGAAACATTTTTATTGGGGGATTTATTTTGTTCTCTGTTTTTGGTTTTTCTTTGAAGCTGGATGGAAGTCCAGGCTGGGTAAAGGGCTGACATCTCACAGAGGACATTCCCTCATGGTCTGTCTGGTCTGGGGTCTTTAAGTCTATAGAGTCCATGGACTCATCAAGTGAGCCTAAACCCCTGAAGCTGTTTACAAATTCTCATGAGTGTACACATACGTGGATGTTTCTGGGGAGAGGGTCCAAGGTTTCCGTCTTATTCACAAAGGTAGCTTAGCCCCCAAAGTAACTAATTCTATATCAGCTCGGAACCCTTAAACGGTGATGGAGGCCAATAAGCCGAGAAACCCGTGGGTTTTTCTGAACTCAACCCTGGCTCTGAAATAATGGCCCTGCATCCCTCCTGGATGCCATTGGAAAATGAGCTTTGCTTGTGGCCTACTGGGTAAATGCCACTCTTTGTCTGCAGAACAACGCGGCCCTGTCAGAGTGATGTATCACTTGGAAACCGGGGTGAGTGCCAGACCTGTCGCAATATTGTCACATCCTGATGGGATGTTGCAACCTCACCCTGAAACCTACAAGGTGGGAGAGTGGAGTCTCCTTGCATTTCCTGCGAATTTGCCCTTCCAGATTTCAGAGAAACCCCAGTCAGGTGCAGGCCCTCCTGCTGACAATACCAAGGGAGATTCTTGGCCCGAAGAAGAGGTTTCTCAGCTAACCAGAGCTTATGAAATCCCTGTCCTCCTTCTACCTTGGCTCGTGGAGAAACCACCGGGAATGCGGAGTCGTGACGAGCTGGGTGCTCTTATAGGTGACAGTGTATGTGCCCACGCATGCTGGGAAATCCAGAATCGTTGAGCTGGAATTACTTTTTCCCACTAACTTGAGCATTAGAGACCTGAGCCTGATTCTTGGCAGGGAAGACTTCTGTGAAATCTCTTATGTGTCGTTGTCTCTAGAATTGGCACCGAGTGGTGGTTGTGACTGAAGCCTCTGGATTCAAATTGTGTGTGTTCACATCGTGGCTCCACTTTCAGGCTGTGTGACTTCAGACAAGTCACCTGAACTCTCTGTGTCTCAGCTCCTGCACAGATCTTTGGATCATCTAGTAGCCACCTCAGAAGGTTGTTGAGTAAAGTGAATAGGCCATTCATGCATAAAGCAGAGCACAGTGCATGGTACATAGTAAGTGCTCAATAAACAGTATTAACCAGTTTGTTTAGGAGCTAATGGCTATTCTAACTTTTTTGAATCATGAACCACTCTTGACAATGGAAATGAATGCCTTGGGTGCTCCCCATTTGCATGCAGTTTCAGTCCATCCGTAATGTCCTTGAAGGCCACACAGGGATCGGTGGGTGAACCCTAGCTTAGGAAGCCCGGATGTACTGTGCACTGAGAAATGCAGCTTACTGGCCCAGTTTCTTAACAGGACTGGCTTGCATTTAGAGACTACTCTGTATTCAGATTGCTGGGTTACTGATTGAGAGATTTTTTGGTAAGTTCTGCCTGGTCTTCCTGACACCTGAAGCGCCCATTCACACACACACACACACGCGCACACACACACACACACACGTGCGCGCGCACTGCTAGACCATTTATTTTTCTTTTTAAGAAGTTTCATTTCACCAGATCTGCCTCTGTCATCTTGTCTTTGGTGATACTCACAAGGGTTACCATAATGAGTCATTTGTTAAACTAATCTGTGTTTCTATAGTCCCCTGGTGGCCCTCTGTACTGAGCGCAGGCCATTCAATGGCCCCTTTGTCAGACTGATTAAAATGTAACTTTGCTTGCCAAAAAAGGGCACTCCTCTGGCTTAAAAGCCATTTTTCTTTGTTATAAGTGTTTACATTTTGTATTATGTAAAAAGAAAACCCACACACATGCACACACACACACACACACACCTTCTTTCAGGGACCTATTTCCTTCAATGGCTTCCTATCTCTCTCAGAATAAAAGCTAAAATCCAAAAAGAGTCCCATGAAGCCTTACTGATCTCAACCTCTGCCTCTTGTTCACAGTCACGCTGGCTTCCTTCTATTCTGTGAATGTACCAAACACATACTGACCTCAGGACCTTTGCATTTACTATTCTTATTCATAGATGGTTCTTCTGCAAGCTCTCTGCATGGCTGGCTGTCTCCCTCACATCCTCTGGTCCCCTTCTCTGAGAGGTCTTCTGTGACCGCCTTATATTTAATTGCAAATTATTCCCACCTTCACATTTCTATCCCCATTTCTTACCCTGCAAGATTTTTCTTCATAGTATTTCTCATCTCTGTTTTATTTTGCTCATATACCACACACACAAACAGTGCCAGGCATGTAATAGGTGCTCAATAAATACTGGTTAAATGAGTGGATGAATGAATGGCAATGATGACTGTAGGAAATGGGTAAATTAAGCAGCTCTCATTGTTCCTTTTAGCAGAGTCACCTGAGATGAAAAAAGAGCAAGACCACCCTGCAAAGTCCCACACCAAAAAGCACAGTAAGTTGCCTGGCTTTCAGATGGCTGTTGTCCCTTCCCTTCAGGGCGGGTGTAACTGGAGGCCACTAGGTTTTAGACAAATATTGCCTCTGCCTGTCACCTCCACTTCTTTACCTCAGCCTGTTTAGGGTGAGACAGTGGGGGCATCACTTGCTGGCAAAGTAAGCCCCTCTGCAGTTTCTCAAAGTGGAGATCCACTGGAATTTCCTCTTTGTGCTGTGCTGTTTGTTCTAAAACTGAGATACCCAGTGAATGAGACCTGATAGGCACGAGGTTAGCAATTTCCCTCTCTCCAGAAAAATGGATGAGAAAAGAAGATGGGAAGTAAAAACGGAGATGTATTCTTTTTTTCTTTTGTTGGCTGTTGGCTTTCCTACCTTTGTCGAGTGATTGTTCCAAGAAAGGACTGTTTACTTTTAATATTCAACAGTGCTCCTTGGAAGTTGTCTTTCCCCCAGTAATAAGACTTTTTGAAAATATAGGAACTCTCAGAGACATGGAGGGGAGAGCTCAGAAAGAAATCATTTGGACATTGTTACATGTCGTTCTGCAGAATTGAACGAACATAGCACAGTAAGTGGTGAGGAGGTGTGGTGTAGCGCAGGTCTTGTGGGGGTCAAGTAGGATTTGGTTGCTAATCTTATTACAGTAGTTGCTTCATTGTCAAATTGGCCCCCTCAACTCCTACCAGACCCTGACCCAATACATTCTAGGAGTTAAAGTTCTAGAGCCCTGTTGATGTGCATTTGACTGAACCACAGTCGCTGGGTGAGAGTGCTATACTCGGGCTGAGGTTCTAGACAAAAGTGGTTGAAATTTGCTCTTCCAGGAAATGACAGATGACAAGGAATCCTGAGCAATTCATCAATAGTAATTAAAAGAGATTCCCCCTTGGGGCGCCTGGGTGGCTCAGTTGGTTAAGCGACTGCCTTCGGCTCAGGTCATGATCCTGGAGTCCCGGGATCGAGTCCCACATCAGGCTCCCTGCTCATCAGGGAGTCTGCTTCTCCCTCTGACCCTCCTCCCTCTCATGCTCTCTGTTTCTCATTCTCTCTCTCACAAATAAATAAAATCTTAAAAAAATTTTAAAAGAGATTCCCCCTGGCATAGGAGGTCTAAGACTTATTCCTTGGTCTTAGCTTTACCACTAGCTAATTGGGTGATCTTGGTCAAGTCACTTGAATTCTCTGTGTCTCAGTTTCCTGATATATAAACTGAAAAATTGTGCTAGTTCATTCTCAAATGCCTTTTTTTTAAAGATAAAATATTTGGTGATTCTGTGATCTGACTGTGCTGGTGGATAGGGGAAAATTGAGTATGTCCTCCCTGATGGACGATGTTGCAACTCTATGCTTCCTCTCCTCCTTCTTGGCTGTGACTTAGGCCACTGATAAACTCCTTTTCCAACTTGTCCTCAGATCCACGAGGGACTCACTTATGGGAATTCATTCGTGATATCCTCCTGAACCCAGACAAGAACCCAGGGTTAATCAAGTGGGAAGACCGATCTGAGGGCATCTTCAGGTTCTTGAAATCAGAGGCTGTGGCCCAGCTATGGGGCAAAAAGAAGAACAACAGCAGCATGACCTATGAAAAACTCAGCCGAGCGATGAGGTGAGGAGTTTCCAGTCCTGACCATGACCACTTAATTCCCTGGCAGTCTTGGTCTGACTGGCCACCTTATGCAATGTCCTTTGTTACAGATATTACTACAAAAGAGAAATTCTGGAACGTGTAGACGGACGAAGGCTGGTATATAAATTTGGGAAGAACGCACGTGGATGGCGAGAAAATGAAAACTGAACCTGCCAACACTTTGAACACAAACCCAAACATTCCCCAAATGATAGCAAGCCAAGAGCTCCTGGACATAAGTATTCCAAAGACTACTTTTCTCTGATATTTATGTACCTTGAGGGGGAAAAACATCCACTTCTAATCGGAAGAAGGAACACTACAGTTGATAAAATTATTTTGTTACTTTGAAGTATGTCCTATATGGGGAACAAACGTACACAGTTTTCTGTGAAATATGATGCTGTATGTGGTCGTGATTTGTTTTTGCCGCTATTGTGAAGTTCCTTTCCACTGCAAGAAGAGCAGGATTTGTAGCCTTGTGCTTCTTGCTAAGAGAAAGAAAAAAAATTAGAGGGCATTAAATGTTTTTATATGCAAAATGATTAGGAGAAGGTGATGTGTCCTCTGCACATGAGCATCCATGTGGCCTCATCAGGAGAGGCGGGTGGGGTTGCTAGGATGAACTCCAAGGTCTCAGGTTGACAGGATGAACCCAAGGATGCTGGGAAGTTTAACTTGACCTTTAGGAGCCAGTGAGTGGAGCATGAAGACTTCCAAAATCCAAGTGGACTATAATCACTGAGTAATCACATGACTTGCAATGCTTAAATCAGCAAGAATAATGGTGAAGGCTTTCTACTCATTCAAGAATGATTTACCTGATGCCAACGCTGTCTCTCTCCCACCCTCTTCGATGACTGGGGAAAAAATCTTCAAATGCCATCTCTGCTCACTTCTAGGTATTTAAGAGAGGCTCTAACCTTGCTTGTTTTTAATCCCAATTGTTCGAAAATAAATGGGAAAAAGGAGGTGGTGATGAGTTTGCTTTTGTATTCCTATAGCCCATCAATTCTCGATTAGCAAAATGGACATTTTGGGCTGAGTAATTCTTTGTTGTGCATTATTTGGCTGTCTTGTGCATTGTGGGATGTTTAGCAGTATCTGTGACCTTTACCCACTGGAGGCCAGTTGCACTCTTATCCCTAAAGTTGTGACATTTTCAGACATTGCCAGATTTCCCTTGAGGGGCAAAATTGTCCTTGATTGAGAACCACTGATGTAGTCTGCCGAGATGAAGATGGTGATTTACTCTCAGAACAAAAATATGCATAGATCTTTCATTCCCTAGAGTGAAGTAAAAGCAAGACTCCAAAGTCAACCAATTTTTAAGTTCTAAAATATTAGGGACAATGGGAATATTAGAAATGGGAAATCTAGAGGTTCCAAACCCCAGATGAGAGCCAAAGTCAGATAAATTAAACACAGTAATAGCAAGAATTATAATAGAAGACATTTCACTAGAATGACAAAGCAGAGTAAAAATTACATTGCAAAAGGAAATGCTGAGAGAAGAATTGGGTGGGGGGAGTGGAGAGAGAGAGAGAGAGAGAGAGATCCAGGGAAAATCTTTCCTCTTTTGGATAATCTCTTTCCCGTCTTATCTGGACTCCTCCCAAAGTGAATGGTGTGTTGCCTAGATTTGTGTCTACAGGATTTTTTTTTTTTTTTTAAAGACAGAGAAAAGAAAGGTAGATGGAAGAGAAACAGAAAGCCCAGCTCAGGAGCTACGGTCAGTAAGACGTTGGGGATTTCTTCAGTGGAATTGTTCTGGGGTGTTCTGGTGTCACTGGGGCCTGAAGCCTGGGAGGAGCATGAGACTGTAGACACTTTGAAAATGGGTTAGAACACCTAGATCCCTTTTGCACCTTTTCTTTCTGGCTCCCCATGTCCTTGGCTTTCTCCTCCCTTTTGCCTCTCTATCTGGAGCCATAATATGGGAAGGGAGACAGCTAATCTCATCAACGAATGGAGCACCTACCACTGTGTCTTACCCAACGAAGGTGAGCAATTCATAGTCAGAGGTTGCAAAGTATTTGTAATGTATTCAGAAGGTTGGAAGTAAGAATTAAGAATTTGTCCTGATTATGAGAGCCATTATGGATGGTAACCTTGGAATGGCAGCTTAGTGAGATGATCTTCTGAAGGTACAACCAAGTCCATTTGTATTTCTGCCTGGCTTGGTCACCTCCACAGAGGTGTTATTTGGTGTTGTCAAGTAACAGTTACTGAGGGAACTGAGAGAAATAACAATGAGCAACACAGACCTAAAGCATGCTGCATAAAAAGACACACCTTGCTTTCCCAGCATTTTACTATGTTTCACTCAGAACAAATTAAACATCCAAATATCTGAATTGGTGTAAACGTATGAATGTTTGTGTGTCTGTGAGCATCTGAATCGTGTGGAGTTATTAGGGACGTCTGCTAATTCGCTCTCTGCTCTTTCTTCCCTGGCTTTGCCTGTTCATCACCCAGGGGGCCTAGATCCTTCCCTGAGCTCACCCTTCTTAAACCTGCAAGTTTCTCACATTCCTCCAATTTGGCCTTGGCTCTTTCTGCACCCTCCCCATCGATGAGCAATTTCTACTAGGTAGTAAGTAAATCTGGGGAGTACCGATTGGAACAGTTCTGCAGATAATTAACAGATTGTGCTATTTGTTGAAAGTGACGGTTTCTTGGCACCCAGTTCCTGCTTAAATAGGCTGGAGTATTAAGTTCTCAGCATATCTCTCTATTGTCTTGGCTTGAGTTGATGCATTTTCTATGTGCTGTTCGTGACTTGGAGAACTCAAGGTAATTGAGCCATGCCAACTTGGGGTGTGAACAGAATACTTCCCACCACAGTGTTGCAAGGGAGAGCAAAATCCCAGAGATAAGCCAGCATCAGGTGAAGCGTCCCCCCCGCCCCCCGCCCCGCCCCACCCAGTCTCTTGGGGACTCACAGCTTCTCACTCAAGAAGCTTATCTGTGTTGGATGCTCACAATGTCCCTAAACCTGGTCTCCTTGAGCTCTCAAGGCTTAGGCTCTAATTTGCCATTTTCATGGGAATCTGAGGCAGGAAATGTGTTGCTAAGACTTCACCAGATGCACATAATCTGAGTCTCCTGGATATGTGACTTGATGAAATTTGAGCAAGGTCCTGGATCCCAGAGACATACATCCACAGCTTCTTGAACTTGCCTTCTGAACAGGGCAGACCCACGTGATGAGTTTTCCTTTGAACATGCTGGTCCTTCCTCAAAGTTCTTGCCTTGCTAGACTGTAAGCTCTTGGAGGGCAGGGACTATATCTTATCCATATTGTTTCCCAGCACCTAGCATGGGCTAGGTCCTTGATAAATATGTGTTGACTTAATGAATGAATGTCTTCTGGAAGACTTCTCCATATCCATAATCGGGATGTGAATCATTTCTTCACCAGAATAAGAGCACAATGGCCAAAACTTCAAGAACATATTATGGGTTAGATGAACATTCTACTGCGAGACTTTTTACTTTGCCTTCCTACTTGTCCTAAAATGAAACCAAACAGACAGGTTGTTTGGTTCCACAAGTCAAGATATATTGGATGAGAATTCTGTTGCCTTATTAGGAGCTGTGAGACTTATCTGGTACGAGAAGCCAGTAATGGACCTTTAAACTGTTTCAACCAATGAAGATTATGAATGTGTTTATATGATGTACATTGCTATTTAAGTGTAAAGCAGTTCTAAGTTTTAGTATTTGGGCGTTGGTTTATATATATATTTTTGTCTTTTTGAAAAAAGGGATCTTTTGATAAGGTTAGTCATGCATGTTAGATCTTAATTTTGCAAGTGTGTTGTCTTTCAAATCTATAAAATAGAGGAAAAGGTAAAATAGTAAGAGGGAAAGGCAATTATCTTATTCTTTTATTGTTAAAAAAAGCATTTTTTTCATGGAGCCATCTATGTGAGGAGCTTCTTTAATTCTACAGAATGTAAGAGATGTTCCACATGACCCTATTGCATGGATACATGCGGTGTGAAAGAAGGAACAGCACAGCAATCACAATATCAGAGCTGAATTAACTTCAGCATTGGTTCTCAGGATGCCTTTTCTGGAATAGGAGATAGAGCACTTAATAAAAACCCATCAAGACTGTGCCTTATGAACCACTGAAATGTATAAGCCCTCACAAGTTTAGCTTAATTGGGATTAATCTTTCTGTAGCAATCTGCATAATTCTTGCTTTTCTCCCCATTTGGCTTCTGGGTTGACAATTTGTGGGAAACAATCCTACTGCCGCTATTTTTTTTTTTTTAAATCAGAAATCTTGCCCTTTAAACTATGTGAAATTCAAACTGAGTATTTTTATTTTATGAAAGAATTATATTTTTCAAAGTATGGGGTTTTTTTTGTTGTTGTTGTTTGATGGGTCCCAGAAAACACTAATAAAAACCAGAGACCAGCCTGTAATTGTATGTTTCATGCTTCAACAAACTACCCAAAACTGGGCTCAGAGGAAATGTGGTTGGTCTACAGCAACAAAATGCATGCAATTCTTGCATAAAATTATTCCATAAGCATTTATTGAACATCTATCATGTGCCAGGCACTTTCCTAGACACTAAACTATGGTAGAAAAATGAAAGAGATAAAAAAAAAAACCCTCTACTCTCATGAAGTTCATATTTCATTGGATGGAAACAGACAAAAAAACAAAAACTAACAAGCAAATATCAGATATATAGTAAGGAAATATGGAGCAAAGAGGAGTGGAGAGTGCTGGGGTGTGTAGGGACGTATGCAAATTTCACCAGGGATAAGGAGGAAACATTTCAGCGAAGACCCGAAAGATGTAAGGAAAGGAGCCATGCAGATAAGAGGGAATGATACCTTACTGAAGGGACCAGCAAGTGCAAAGGTCCTGAGGTTCCTGACACGTGTTCCTGACATGTCCAAGGAGCAGTGAGGAAGTCTATTTACCAGAGCAGAATAAGCAATAGTGGGAAATGATGTAAACGAGGCGCTAGATGACATAGAACACGGAGAACATTATGAAGGCTCCAGGTTTTCTTTTGAGTGAGGTGGGGAGCCACAGAGAAGTGACACGCTCTCACTTCTGCTTTAAAACAACCCCTCTGGCTGTTGTGTTGAGAATGAATTGCAGGGAGACATTCAATGCCAAACAAACATTCTTACTGAAGGATGAATAAAAGGAGGAAGAAAAGCTCACACTCACATCCCGGCTTCCCATATGATACTTAGCAAATATTTCAAGGCAGTAAGTGAGCTCTACCTGTTCATAACATATTTCTCCTGGGGCCCAGAAAGTCTCAGTCAGTTCTTAACTTCATAACCAATAATATGAAAATAATAATAGGTGAGCATTTGAGGAAGATCCACTGGTGCCAGGTACTGTGATATGTGCTTTACATACATTATTACATTTAATCTGATATATAGATATGATCTCCAATTTTCCAATGAAGGAAACAAAGGTCAGAAAGGTTAAATGACTTTCTTAAGGTCACACACACAGCTAGAAATAAGTAGTAAAGCTGTCTTTGTGCACCCAGACCTCAGTTCCCCAAAGCCTATCTTCCTAATCCTGATAATCTCTAGTTCATTGGGATGCTAATGTCCAGTGAGAGGGAAAGCAAGAAGTAAACAACACACATGCACACACGGTTTCATGGTTAAATATATTGGAGTAATACTGAGTTAAGCAAAGTCTTACGGAGTTATTCTGTAGGAATTCTTAGAGCCTTTATGATGATGGTGTGCACTGTGAATCTATAAGAGAGGGAAAAGTGTTCCCAACTTTCCAAACGTATGTAATATGGACCTTTTTCATCAAAGGCAGGCTTGATGAAAGCGAGACCCTTTAGATGCCCAGGAAAATGATGATATGTAGAGATTACTTCTCTGACTTAGGAAAAGCAGTATTTTCATGTTTGGGCCAAATTAATATGCTGATAATATTCATGCACGTCACACTTGGCCAACTTTGAATATATTCTGTATCTTTCTCATTGAGAAGAAATTCCCTTGCTGCCCTGGGCGTTATTTATTTGCATCGATGCATTTCTCAGCAATCACAATGGACTTGCCAAGTGACTCCTCTTGGGGAACTGTGAACCCTCCTGAATTTTAACTCTTTAGAACTATCTGTCCCAAACTATAGGCACTAGCCACATGTGGCTATTTAAGTTTCAATGAGCTCAAATTATATACGTTAAAAATCGTGTTCCTTAATCACACCATCTGCATTCCAAGAGCTGTCCAGCCACGTATGGCTATTGGCTCCAGGACCGGCTGGTGTCCCCATAGAACATTTTCATAATCAGAGAAAATTGGTGGGACAGCAGTGCTCTAGAATCTGACTGGGAGGAGGGAGTAAGGGTGAAAAGGGTAGTGAGTAAAACTAACCCAGGCTGAAATAAGATCCAGGGAGCCTTAGAAACCAAAGGTGACCCTGAATTGTAGAGAACAATGAAAATAAAGATCCAAAGCAAATATCTCTATGTTTGTTGGAATGGTGACAGTATCTGCGAGTGCAAACAAGTTTGACGCTGTCAGTGGAGACTTGGAGTGGGAGGATTTTATTATTCTTATCTCCAAACCCCACACATACCCTACAGTCATTAATATGAGTGTTCCAAGGATGTGGCTTTCTGGTCGGGAATATTGGCATTGAGGGAAGATCATTGAAATGGGCAGGCAAATGAAAGGTTCTTAAGCAGGATGGCTGGTTACTTCCACAGTCTGCCACAAACAACACGAATGCCATTTTCGTCCTTTTTTTTCAAGACTCACTTCTTGAATCATTCATTTACCCATTGGCTATTTCCTTACAAGTCAGTTCTTGTCTATTAACTAGCGTGATCTGGCCTCTGTTTACATCAAGTCACTGAAAATGCTCTGTTGAAGGTCACAGCCAAACTCATTGCTGCCTCGGGGACTTTGCTTTAGCTCTTCCCTTTGCCTAGCATGCACCTTTGAGTGTCATGGGGCTGGCTACTTCCAGTCATGTGGACTTCAGTTCAAAAAGTCGCCTTTCCTAATCACACTGAGAGCTGGAAGATTGTTTGGTGCAAACACCTGTCCTAAGAGCACAGAGAGCTTAATGCATAGACCCAAAGTCACACAGGCTTTTAGCTAGGAGGGGAGGCCAGTTTCCCTGTTTTCCTTTCATGAATCCTTACAAGTACAGGTTATGGGTTCTCATAATCACAGGGATCTTCTGTTCCCCAACATGGGGACATCCTCAAGGAAGCTCCTTTTCCTCTGTCTCCGTGGTGACGCCATGCAACTTTCTTATGCTGATTCTTTGAATCCAGTCAACATCATCTCCCCTCTGGAGCCCAGCCAGGTCTGGGAAGAAAAATCACACTTCCTCGATGTTAGTGGAAGAGCAGATGAGACCAAGAGCTGCTCAGAAGCCATAAATGCAAAGGTCCCTGGCACTGCTGAGGAGGGAGCATGGGAGTGTACAGAATCTAGTAAAAGATCCGATGAATCATCAGCTTTCTGACTTCTCTCCTCAGCTTCAGTCTGTGTGTGTGTGTGTGTGTGCACTCACGCCTTCCTTGCTCTTACTCTATGTTTCTTTCAGAGTTCTCATTTCTTTCCCATATCTTTCCTTCCTCTTGCTCACCAGTCCCTTTCAGATTCCTTCTCGCTCCAAACCTGTCTTTCTAGGTTGCTGAAAGATGGAGGGATGACAAGAGGACAGTCCTGGACCAGGAATGGTGTCACCTCCCTGAAAGCCTCAGTGGTGACAATAACAAATGGTATTTACCTAAGAGTTATTAACACATCAACTGTTCTCCCCTTGACTGTTTAGTCATGTCATTCAGCATTAATGGACTTTTCCAATGGCAAACAGAAAGAGAAGAAGGAAAACAAACAGTGTATTCACACTTGATGGAGTCAGTGATCCCTGCCAAAGTTGTGAAAACAGAGGTGATCTCTTAAGTTTGACCTGAGGACACGTCTCACCTGAATGGGGATACATAGGATTCCGGGTCCATGTTGGACTTTCCACTGAGCTTCCCGGTGAGAGGGAAAGCAAGAAGCAAAGGATGTGGCAGCATGGCGCAGAGGAAAAAGTACTTCACTTGTTTCCAACTACATAATGATTACAGCCAAGGTGCCAGGCACTGTACCAGGTGCTGCCCCAGAGCACAAGACAGACTCAAGGCAAGATCAAGTGACTGGTCCTGCTTCACACCACAGATTAGTGTGAGAGCCCATGTCACTTCCAGTTCTACTCTACTCTGCTGTCTCCATCAATGTCCATGTTTTCTTTAGGAAGGAGATATCCTTAGCTCACTAGAACTGGAAAACAGGCTAACAGAGTAAAAAGCATAGGCTTTTTTTGTGTGTGTGTGGTTTTAAATTTTATTATATTATGTCAGTCACCATACAATACATCATTAGTTTTTGATGTAGTGATCCACGATCCATTGTTTTCGTATAACACCCAGTGCTCCATGCAGTACGTGCCCTCCTTAATACCCATCACCGGGCTAACCAATCACCCCTCCCCCCTCCCCTCTAGAACCCTGTTTGTTTCTCAGAGTCCATAGTCTCTCATGGTTCATCTCTCCCTCCAATTCCCCCCACCCATTTTTCCCTTCCTTCTCCTAATGTCCTCCATGCTATTCCTTATGTTCCACAAATAAGTGAAAGCATATGATAATTGACTTTCTCTACTTGACTTATTTTGCTTAGCATAATCTCCTCCAGTCCCATCCATGTTGATGTAAAAGTTGGGTATTCATCTTTTCTGATGGCTGAGTAATATTCCATTGTATATATGGACCACATCTTCTTTATCCATTCATCTGTTGAAGGACATCTCGGCTCTTTCCACAGTTTGGCTATTGAGGACATTGCTGCTATGAACATTGGGGTGCATATGGCCCTTCTTTTCACTACATCTGTGTCTTTGGGGTAAATACCCAGTAGTGCAATTGCTGGGTCATAGGGTAGCTCTATTTTTAAATTTTTGAGGAACCTCCACACTGTTTTCCAAAGTGGCTGTACCAACTTGCATTCCCACCAACAGTGTAAGAGGGTTCCCCTTTCTCCACAACCTCTCCAACATTTGTTGTTTCTTTCCCTGTCCATTTTGGCCATTCTAACTGGTGTAAGGTGGTGTCTCAGTGTGGTTTTGATTTGGATTTCCCTGATGGCTAATGATGATGAACATTTTTTCATGTGTCTGTTAGCCATTTGTATGTCTTCTTCAGAGAAGTGTCTGTTCATCTCTTCTGCCCACTTTTTGACTTGATTATTTGTTTTTTGGGTGTTGAGTTTGAGAAGTTCTTTATAGATTTTGGATACCAGCCCTTTATCTGTAGTGTCATTTGCAAATATCTTCTCCCATTCTGTGGGTTGCCTCTTTGTTTTGCTGACTGTTTCCTTTGCTGTGCAGAAGCTTTTTATCTTGATGAA